CAGATTGGGGGATCTGCAGCCTGATTGCTGCAGGGCCCGCCGCACCAGCGAGAGCGACGGCTCCAGCTTAAGAGGGTGATCTTGTAGACTCCGGCCCAGCTGCACGGCAATGCAGGCACAAACTGACTGGGGCAACCTTTCGCCTCTGCCGAACATGTAGCATGAGCATGAACTTCCGGAGGTCCGCACGGACCTCCGAATGTTCGTTTATGCCGATGTGTCTTCTTCGAAGTGTCACCGCTCAGAAAGAAAACGCCGTCTGCTGGCACTGCGCCCCGTTGCCACGGCTGGTGGGCCGCTGCAGGAGAGAGTGCAGTCCAGAATGCCATGAGGTCACATTTGGCTGCGCACGTTCTACAGCACGCGCTGGCGGACGAGCAACCGTATGAAACAAACTTTTTTCCGTCGATGGGGACGGCTGCCGCAGGGCGGCTGGAAAAGTTACACCCCTACACGTCAGGGCATGAGCTCTCCAGCCGCCGTGGCAGGCGCCCTCCGCGACGGACAAGTTTGGCTTATACAGCTTCTCGTCCGCTGACGCGCTCTGGGAACCTCCGAAAGACACGTGCTGGCAGGCTAATATTTTATCCCAACCTTCCTGTGGTGTTTTGTCCTCGTTTTGGACAGACAGCGCCCCGCGTTCACTCCTCCTCCCTCTCCTCCTTCCTTCCACCATCAGCATCGTCATCGTCATCATCATCATCAACATCATTATCATTATCGTCGTCATCATCACCATCGTTACCATCGTCATCACCATCGTCATCATCACCATCATCGTCGTCATCATCGCCGTCACCATCACCATCATCGCCATTACCCTTGGCACACCCCTCGCACGTTTCGTGGTCCCATAGGGAGCTTCACCGAAAGCCCCAATAGCGGTGTCCACATGGATCCGCGCCGCCCACGTCGCCACACCTTTCACACGCTTCGTGGCCCATACGGGGCTCCACCGAAAGCCCCGGTGGCGGTGTCCGCATGCGTCCGCGCCGCCCATTTCGACACCTCCCTCACACGCTTCGTGGCCCCATAAGGAGCTCCACCGAAAGCCCAAGTGGCTTTGTCCACCTGCGTCTCCGCCACCCATGTCTGCACATCGCTCGCACGCTTCGTGGCCCCGTAAGGAATTCCACCGAAAGCCCCACCGGCAGTGTCCACATCGTGTGCGCCACCAGTGTCGGCACACCCCTGACACGCTTCGTGACCCCATGGGGAGCTCCACCGAAACCCCCAATGGCGGTGCCCACATGCGTCCGCGCCACCCATGTCGGCACACCCCTCACACGCTTCGTGGCCCACTGGGGAGCTTGATCGAAGGCCCTAGTGGCAATATCCACACGCGCCCGCGCCACCCATGTCGGCACACCCCTCGCACATTTCGTGCCCTATAATTAACTCAACCGAAGGCCCCAATGGCGGTGTCCACATGCGTCCGCGCCACCCATGTCGGCACACCCCTCACACGCTTCGTGGCCCCATCGGGACTCCACCGACGGCTCCAATGGCGGCGTCTGTATGGCCCCATCGGGAGCTCCACCGAAGGCCGTCTGGCGGTGTCCACATACGCCCGCGCCACCCAGTTTGTGCACCCCTCACACGCTTCGTGGCCCCATCGGGAACTCCACCGACGGCCCCAATGGCGGTGTCCGCATGGCACACCCCTTACACGTGTCGTGGCCCAATCGGGAGTTCCACCGAACGCCCCGTCCGCGCCACCAATGTCGGCGCACCCCTCACACGCTTCGTGGACCCATAGGGAACTCAACCGAAAGCCTCCTTGGCGGTGCCCACGTACGTCCGCACCACCCATGTCGGCACACCCCTCACACGCTTCGTGACCCCATAGGGAGCTCCACCGGCGGCTCCAATGGCGGCGTCTGTATGGCCCCATCGGGAGCTCCACCGAAAGCCGTCTGGCGGTGTTCACATACGTCCGCGCCACCCAGTCTGTGCACCCCTCACACGCTTCGTGGCCCCATCGGGAACTCCACCGACGGCCCCAATGGCGGTGTCCGCATGGCACACCCCTTACACGCGTCGTGGCCCAATCGGGAGTTCCACCGAACGCCCCGTCCGCGCCACCAATGTCGGCGCACCCCTCACACGCTTCGTGGACCCATAGGGAACTCAACCGAAAGCCTCCTTGGCGGTGCCCACGTACGTCCGCACCACCCATGTCGGCACACCCCTCACACGCTTCGTGACCCCATAGGGAGCTCCACCGGCGGCTCCAATGGCGGCGTCTGTATGGCCCCATCGGGAGCTCCACCGAAAGCCGTCTGGCGGTGTTCACATACGTCCGCGCCACCCAGTCTGTGCACCCCTCACACGCTTCGTGGCCCCATCGGGAACTCCACCGACGGCCCCAATGGCGGTGTCCGCATGGCACACCCCTTACACGCGTCGTGGCCCAATCGGGAGTTCCACCGAACGCCCCGTCCGCGCCACCAATGTCGGCGCACCCCTCACACGCTTCGTGGACCCATAGGGAACTCAACCGAAAGCCTCCTTGGCGGTGCCCACGTACGTCCGCACCACCCATGTCGGCACACCCCTCACACGCTTCGTGACCCCATAGGGAACTCCCCTCGAAGCCGTCGTGGGTTTCTGTTCCTGGCGTGCTCCTCTTCATCAGCGTAGTGGGTCTTCTCCTCCGTCGATTGGCGTGCGGATTGCACGCGTAGCACCCTGCCGCATAGTGGCGAGAGAACTCGTCATGCATCCTGTTGTCTCTGTTCTGCGCACTGCCGCCGGTGAGGTAGTCAAGAGGAGTCTGCGTAGAGTTCCAGGTCTGCCAGGAAAGAGGAGGAGCGTGGGTGGCATTGAAGGTGATGTCCCGGAGAAACGACAGCGAATAGCCCCAAGTTTGTGTAACGGCCCCCTGGGATGATGGCAGCGCAATTTCCCGACCCTCTTTTGTATTCCCGCTCTTGCCTGCTCGCGCCTCTCCCGGCTTCCGCGACGCAGTTGCGGATGACTCGGAACGTTCCACAAACGCCGACGATGTGAGTGTCGGGTCGAACGACCGCTTGACAAAGTCGGCTACACCCACATGCGGAAGCAATGGCGTCGATGCGTCCTTTTCCTCTTCCCCACGGGCTTCCGCGGCACAGTTGCGAATTGCTCGTGGCTCTGGGCCGATGCCGTGAGCGTGGAAATCGGATCGCTCGACGGTCTGACGCTGACGGCGGCGCTTCCAGGCGAGTGCTGGGACGACGAGAGGCCCCCGAACATCTCGACCACAATTCGAAAAGGTTTGGGGGGAAGGCGCGGGGGCCGCTGTCCTTGTTGTAAGTGCCTATGTAGATGTATTCGTGTTCTTGCCCAGTCGTGGTTCCTGGCGGGTGGGCGGCTGGTGCCCCGACACTCCCGGGAGAGTTGTTCCCGGCCTCGACGATCTTGTGGAGCTTCACGATGGCTAACGCGCTGCAGAAACCGCGGCGCCATGTAGAGCGTGTAGAGCGGGTGCACGTTGAGTATCCTGTTGAGCGGTCGCTAAGGGCGCGAGGCCTTGCCGCGCGGGCCATGGCGGCGAGTGTGCTGGTGGACAAAATACTCCGCGACCAACTAAGATGTAGAGCGATGAACACTCTGCTCTCTAACGGAAGGGTGCAAAGCAACTCGTCTTGTATCAAACGTGCTATAGCGGGCGCGGCGGGGGATCACTTGAGCCCAAACCGCAGCAAGAGACAAACCTTCCCGCACCCAACATGCGCAACAATACGGCCCTGCTAGCATGCTCAAGGAAGAGGTGACCTACCGTTGGAGTAACAGGAGGAGGAGGAGGAAAATGAGGAGGAGTACATGAATGAATGAAAAAGGACCCGAGGGGGGTGCACAGCACCAAAACTAGGGCCAACAAACACCACAGGCGCACAGCGCCATGACGCGCAGCGTCATATCAGGCCGCAGGCACGAACCATTGGGGCCACAGGCACAATTAGGGACCATCTACTCTCAAGAAGGCAATCTAAACCCTAGGCTGCTGCCTGTGCTTGGCTGGCACGAAGATTGCCCCAAAACACAAACATGCCGCATAACACCCACGAAACTAAGCATTACACGATCCTTAGCGGGGAAGCAGAGGGCTCGAACCTCTGACCAGCAAATTGCCTCCTTGGGCCTGACCCGGCAAGCTGGAACCTGGGACCCCGAAAGAAATAGAGCCGGTAGCCCTTAGCAGCACCCCGCGTCGCTTCTGCCATTTAGCCTGCGGCGATGAGCGGTCCGACCAAGGTGGTTGAAGGCCTTATGCCGCGGGCCCCGCCTCCATAGCGTCATCCGCGGTACACCTCAAAGATCAACGAAAATTGACTCCGTACTGATGTGCTGCTGGGGCCAGGCGAGCCTTCCCAGCAGCACCTCAGCACCTCACGTTGCCCTTCCATCACCCCCGAAGAAGGGGAGAGGAACGGGCAACGGAGGCGGACGGACCACTGTCGCCAACCTCAACCTGGAGGTGCCACAGGGAGGAGGCGAAGGACCCAACAACCAAGGCTCAAACCTGGCTGCGAGGACCCGGGAGGGGCTGGAAACGGGGTGGAGGGGGGGAAGGCCACTCTTTGGCCTAAGGTGCGCACAACGTCCACCCCTGGGTTTTTTGACCCTGGGGCCGTGCCGCCTTTCCTTTCACAGGGGTCCGAATGGGAGGGGAACGGAGGGTCCTCCTGGCTCACGCCATGACAGCGATCGCTCTTAGAAAGGGAAGGGTGGAAGGGGAGGGGACATGCCACAGCCCACAGGGATCATCGGCAGTACACCTCATTCAGGAGGTGCCACACGGCGCCCAGGCTGCACCGCTTGGCCGCGGTGGCAGGGAATTAAGGAGGAGGAAGAGGAGGAGGAGGAGGAAGGGGAGGAGGAGGAGGAAAACGAGGAGGAGGGGGAGAAGGAGGAGGAGGAGGAGGAGGAGGAAAAACTAGGTGTCTTGGATCCTTCGCCCTGCTGACCCCCCCTCTGTTCGCAAGGGCAGGCGGCCGCGCGCGGGGCGCGCTCACCAGCTCGGTGACCGCGCGCCTGCCGGCCGCCCGGGCCAGCTCCGACTTCTTCTTGGGGTCGCGCGCCAGCTTCTGCCGCAGGGCCTCCCGGGGCAGCGGGGGGCCACAGGCCAAGGAGGCCAACGATCGCGAGGACAGCTTCGTCATCGAAGAGAGGAGCAGGGGGGGGGCATTCTCGTTGGCCTTTGGGGGTCTTCTCGCCTCGGAGTGATCTCTGGCAGCCGCGTCGCGTCGAGGGCTTCCCGGGGGGTGCACGCATCGCCCCGAGGGCGGCCCCTGGGGGCATGCGCCAGGACCCGAAAGCCAGCAGCCGTCGACGACAGAATCACCCGACTTCGCGCCTCGCTCCCCGCGATGTGCGCCTCCGGGTGCCCGGGTGCCTGGTAGCCCTATAGCCCTATAGCCCTATAGCCCAATAGCCCTGTAGCCCTATCGCCCGAATAGCCCTAATAGCCCCCGCGCCGCCTCCTTGAAGAGAGGCGGCCGCGCGGACCCCCAGCCGCGCATCGCGCGGAGCGCGATGCACTACATCTGCGCCCCCAGGCAAAGAGGCCAAGGCATAACCCTCGGCCCTTCGAGCCTCGAGCCCTCCTCCTTTAAAGGGGCCCAGGGACACACAAACACATGCACACAAATCCTAGGATTCACTATGTTTTCATGTATTTTCTGGGTTTTCGTCTTCCCCCCTCATTGTCCATCTTTTCCCATATCATCTTGGGAATTGACGATTCATTGTGTCTGTGTTCTTTCCCCTCCTGAGCCTCTCCTCCCCTCGACGACCACCCCCCACCTCCGGAATGAGGTTGGCGCTGGCCGACGCGTGCCTCTCTCGCGCGCTGAGGTTGCCCCCCAGAACCCCCCCCCCACCTGGCCCCGCCGCACACGCTGCCACTGCGCCTTGGAGAATCGGCGGCGAGTCCATTGGGGAAGCGAGAGGAGGGGGGGGGGCGGAGCGGGGGATGCGTCTGGAGCGCCGCCAACGAGAGAGGACCATGAGAGGATCCGTGAGCGTGCCTGAGTTCAGGAAGCACCAAAGAGCAACGATGGATCATTTGACGAGTGGCCCTCTCATTGCGCTGGCTTGTCACCTGCAGGGTCCATGCTGAACAGACAATATGTACGCACAGTCGCCGAATGCGCGGATTGTCAAATGGCCTCATGCAGCGGGGGGATCTGGACACATGTGCTTTGCTGGATGAAATCGGATGCGAAGCGGTGATCAAACCAGAATGCCCTGGTCGCGGCCAGCTTCAAGTGCTGTATCATCTGAACATGCGATGAGACACTTGAGGCAACCTCTTCCTGGAGCGCACGACCCCCGCCCTCTCGCCATGGTGCCAAAACGAATCATTCCAGCCGTCAGCGCCATGGCGCGGACAATAGGCTTGTTGGCAAAGTTGGCCCACTTCTCCTTGGATGACACGGGGGCGAAACACTCAACTTTATCATTCGGTGCAATTGTGGCAAGGAGAGGGGCCTGCCGAACGGCCAGGGAAGGCCGAGAGCAAGCAGCAGTGTCACAACCGGGTGCATCGATAGGCTTGCGAGTTCCAGTGATGTGGGCAGCGAGGCTCACTCCTCATGTCTCCTGCCCGTACTCACCCTTTACTTCCTCTTCGCAAGTACCAAACGACCGACACACACTCTTGCCCCAACTTGTCGACCATATCCTTGTCGCAGCCGGGATGGCGATGGAAGAGAAGAGGGAACTGCAGCACATTATAGAAAAATGTTACCACAAGATATCAGGGCAAACTTTCTGCCAACGTCTTGACCAAACGCTTGGCCAACCTTGTGAGCAACTACGCCTCCGTGGGTGGCCGGGGGTCCAACAACTGGGCCAGCTTCATGGAAGCTACTGCAGAGAACTCTGAGCAAAAGGGAGATTTGAGTTTTCTCAACAGAAGACCAAGCAATTGCGGCCTGGCCCTCACTCATCGTGTTCCTACTCCTCCTCCTCATCAGCCTCCTTCTTGTAATCATTAGTATCTATCTTCTGAACCTCCTTCCTCCTCTCCTCGTCGCTCTCCTCGTCCCTCCTCCTTACCCTCCTCCTCCTTTCTCCTCCTTGTCATTCCCCTCGCCTCCTCTTGCATCCTCGCCTCCTTGTGTTTTCCACTCCCGCCTCCTCGCCTCCCCTTGTCCTCTTCCTCGCCTTCATCCTCGTCGTCGTCAACCCTGTCCTCCTGCTCCTCGTCCTCCTTCTTTCTTCTCCTCCTTCTCCTCCTCCTCCTCCTCGTGCTCGTGGACTTTGTCAACGCCACCGTCGTCAGTGGCGTCCTTCTCTTCTTGCTCCTCCTCGTCCTTCTCCTTGTCCTCCTTCTTGCCCTCTCCCTTCTCCTCGTCCTCGTCCTCGTCCTCCTCGTCCTGTCGTCTTCGTCGTCGTCGTCGTCGTCCTACTCAACCTCCTCCTCCTTCTCCTTCTCCTTGGCCGGACCCTCGCTGGGAAGCCGGAGGCCAGGCAGCGCACGCGCGCAGCATCGCCAACGATTGCGCCGAATCGGTGGAGGGAAGGAGAGGGAGACGAAGCGGACGGGAGGAGGGAGGAAGGGAGGACGGGCCAGGAGCAGGAGGCAGGCAGATATAGAGGAGGGAGGGGAGGGGGAGGGCGCGGGGGTAGAACATTCTCCTCGTCCTCCTCCTTGTCCTCGTCTTCGTCCTCGTCCTCGTCCTCGTCCTCCTCCTCCTCCTCCTACCTCTTCCCTCGTCGTTCTCCCCCTCGGGGCTCCCCCTCCGTCCTCCGAATCCAAAGGCAAGCCCGCCCCCTCCGTCCCTGCTCCATGCCCCCCTTCGCACTGTCCCCCACGATCTGCGAGGACGGAGGGAGAATTCATGTGATTGGTGATTGTTTTGGCGACGGATGACAGGAAACAGGGCATCCTGACAATGGCTTTCCTCGCTGAGGGCAAGGCCTCGATCCTCAGAGATGTCGGAAGAAATCCAGCCCCCGGCCCCAAATCACGGCATGCCTCGATCGGCTATACGCAAGGGTGAACGTAGGCAAGAGTGACCTTTTGTGCGAGGCGTAACGGGGGACGCCGTGTGGCCAAACCTGGGCGCGCAAGCCGCTGCTACCGCTTCGCGCTCAGCGATAGGGGGACCCCCCTGGGCCCGCACCAAAGGCCACTCCGGCGAAGGGTCGCTCTTAAGTCTAGTCGACTCGTGGGGCCAGGCCGAGCCCGTAGGCGAGACGCGATACCGGGACAATGAAACCCCGCGTGCACGCACTGTCTGCCCACTGGCGCGCGCCCCAGATGTCCTGCATGGCGTCGCCGTCCTGTATGCCCTCCTTGCGCCCCAGGTACACCATGACCAGGCCTGCAGGGTGGATCGGAAAACCCCAGGACATCCGACGTCGTGACTTACATCGGCTGCTCGCAAGAGTGACCCTGGGAAATGGGTAATAGCGACCTTTGGTGCACGGCTTTTTGGTGGCCGTGGGGGGACCAAACAGTAGCGCGCAAGACGCTACCATCGCATCGCGTTCGGCGATCGGGGGCCCCCAATGGGCCCACACCAGACAGAGGAGGTCACTCTGGCGAAAGGTCACTTTTACCCGTAGACGCGTAGTCGATCACAACGTGGCTCCCAATGCAGAGGTCTGCGCCTGTTCCCGGGGACCGGTTCTTGATCCCGAGTCGCTTTTTCTCGATACTGGTGCCTGAAGCCGTTCGTTGTGATTTTTCCACGACGCGAACATGTCCGGGAACAGAGCGCACGAATCACCCGCCTGGGACTCCCACGGGGGGCAGACCTGCACGGCAGATTGCACACTTCGCGTCTCCACGCCAGGATGGACTGCCAGGGCCATGCCCGCTTGCCGCGACGAGGCGGTGTCTACGGCTGATTGTGAGGATGGCTGTGCTTTTGTATTGTGGGCGGCGCGTAGGAGGGTGGATGCCTCTCAGCCGAAGGGCCCCCAATGCCTCGGGTGGACTTAGCGCTGCAGAGGATTTGTGTACGAAGCGGTGGGCATGGACACCAGAGAAGTGTTGGCGCTCATTCCTTCTACCCCAGATTCTCCCATCTCCATCCATCTCATTACCTGACCAACATCACATGGATGGCGCTAGGAAATGTAATAGTGAGTGGGACGGCGGATCCGACTGTGTATGGTTCGGTTGGTCATCAAAACGGATTCGTATAAATCAGTCTTGCTCGTTCCAGTGCAGCAATACACAGATGGGATTGTAGACTTTGGCGCTGAACAAGGTTAGCCACCAGTATACGTGCAACTGCGGTGACTTGTTACTTCATCATCGTACCCCCACCCCCAGCCTCTTAACCTCTCCCTCATCTTGATCGGTATCTGCTCACGGATATGAACGGTGTTAAAAGTGGCTGGCTCGCAAGCAATGCAAGCGTGAGGAGGGCCAATGAGATACTGCCGCTGGGCTGCATGGGCACCGAAGTATGAAGCGTTTTTCGACAGCCCCTCAACACGATGCCCCTCCCTCCACCACTACATAAGGTGCTGGCAATCGCTTGGGCGGAGTGCTCTGGCAAACGCTGGGCAAAGCAAGCAAGCTAACGGGTCAATCGTTGATCAGGGGGCACTCTTGCCCGGGGGATGGCGCGCTCGAAGACAGACTAAGAGGAGGACGGCGTCGCAGTGCTTTCGCCGAGGAGGGGGTTGGAGGATCGTCTGTCCTGAGTGGCTCTTCTGAGTTGGCCTCTGCTACAAGAACTTCTGGTCTGGTTGGCCTGGCCTGGCGGCAACCAGCCTATGGCACCCTTCTCCCCGGGTCCCTCCGCATCCCTCCGCTGTCTGACCCTCCCGCCCTGTCCCCCCTTCGAGTGGCCAGAGACAGGGCCAAGTGGGCGCAGGGCAGTGCCTGGGCGAGCAGTATGCGTAGTGTACACGCAGGCAAGGGGGGGCATGAGGCCCCCCAAGGTTTGAGGAGGACTCATGCACAGAGACCCGTGGGTGGGGAGCCAGTGTGCAACCCTGTTCCTCCTCCCCCCACCACCCCCTGTAAGGCAGAGTAGTGGGTCTGGCGCAGATGAGTCCGCGGGGGGAGGCGCAACAGCTATTTCATCAGTTTGCGCTTTGATGCAACAGTTTGCGCGCTGGATTCCGCAGTTTCGCGTGGATGCAGTTATGTATCTGTTTTCACATGCAAGAGCTGTTGCCCGTGCAATAGTTCGTGCCCCCCAGTAACTGCACACTGTTGCACGCGACGAAATAATAACACCAAGCGATTGCGCCTCCCACTGCCGACCCCTCTGCACTAGACCCACTACTCTAGATTAGACTCGAACCCTCCCCGACGCGCCCCGAAAACGACGCCAGGCCCGGCCTAGCAGCGACAGCATGTTCGGGAACACGAACAGTCCGTAGAAGAACGGGCGCGCCGCCACGCGGGCTGCCGCGGCCGCAAGCACCGGCGGCAGCGCTTGCAGCGGCGCCTCCAGCCACTCTGGGGGATACTGAGGTGGACATCCCAGGCCTGCCCAGACTCGAGAACATCGAGCGCTGGGGCCTGCTGTCTCATATGGTCTGGGACTGCTGCGCCTCGTGCCGTGGCGGCGGCCCCAGCGGCACGCGATGTCTTGCGAGCGGACAGCGTGTCGCTCCGCTCCACGGGGCGGGAAGCTGGGAAAAGCTCGAGACGTTCACGCTTGGGGACTGGGACGTGGTTCGCGCGTCGCGCCGACTCGTGGTGGGCCAGAACAGACGGCACGACAGGCGAAGCAACAATTTTCGACCGCTGGCCCCTGGAGGCCTTTGGCGGGCCCAGAGAATGTCGGAAACCGTACCGTCGGGCGTCGACTACCCAGGCTCAGCGCAAACCTATGTTAGAATATTCGAAGCAATCAGCTGCTGTTTTTGTTTTTGTTTTTGTTGTTGTTGGTGGTGGTGGTTGTTGGTTGTTGGTTGTTGGTTGTTGGTTGTTGGTTGTTGGTTGTTGGTTGTTGGTTGTTGGTTGTTGGTTGTTGTTGTTGAATATTATTACTTCTAAAGAATAATTATTGTTGGGACCCCTGGTGCACGACCCCCCCGCCGCGCCTAGGCCGCAGCCACGTTTTCATCATTTTCGTGAAGAAGTCTCAGGCAAAACGGGTTGGTCCGGATCCGGTTGTGTTGTTACGATCGGTTTTCCCTTGCAAAAAACGAACTAAAGTGGACATTTCTTGTTCTAACAGATCCAAACTTCAAGAATCCCTTGCAAAAAAAATGATAAAATGGACACTCGCGCGCGCAAGACGAAATCCTTCCAAAACCTTAGTTTTCGTAGCGATTTTAACATTAAAACATCAAAGAACCAATGGTTTTTCAAAAAAAATGTCAAAATTTCATCCCGCGCGCTCTTGCGGATTCGTAGGACACCCAACACTTTTTAAACATTTCTGTCAAACGGGCTTTTGCGAGCAACTTTTTCGAACTTCTGCAACAACGGTTGCGCACCTGCCAGGGCCATCATCCCTGTCAAATAATACCATGCGGGACACATTCGTTTTTTCTTCGCGCGCGCACGCCGTCGTCGTCGGCCGCGGGGCCCTGAATAGTAGCCACGGTCGTCCGCATGCCACGAAGTGAAGTGTCCGAACGTCATAGGGCGGGAAGCTGGGTGTGGGTGGTGGCGAAGAGTCGTTTGGAAATTTGGTAGAGCTTGAACCGGCCCCCCCACAAAGTGGGGGTATTGCCCGCCTCCTATGAAAACCCTGGCACTGGTGAGAACGGAGTGTCCCCACGTGCTAGTAATTGTTGTTGTTGTTGTTGTTGTTGTTGTTGTTGTTGTTGTTGTTGTTGTTGTTGTTGTTGTTCTTGTGGGGCTTCCCGAACCAATCTCGACCAGCATGTAAGTCCACCTCCGGGGCCGCGAGCGGCTCCCGAACCTGGCTCAGCCCAAATCCAGCCTTGCAGGATCCTGCAAGATCTGGCGCTCTGGCTGAGCTCCGTACGTGCGCCCCGAAGACGGCTCACTATGAACAAACCAGTCCCAAGCACGGGGTCGAGAGGCCCTGCGCCCTCAGACTCAAACCCAGACATGCGACGTCCTGATCTGTCAATGCGCGGTCTCTGGAAGTCCCGACCCTTTCCCCGGGGCGAGCTTTTCATCTTGAGTCGTGTCTTGATGGCACCGACGCCTGGTTCAAGGGCCCCCAGAGGCCGAAAATGGCGAACAACTGCCCGTCGTGATTCTTTCACGACGCGATCATGTCCGGGGAAGTATTGCACCGAGCCGTCGGGGCCTGGGATCTCAGGCCCCGGCGGGTGGATAGGGTTAGCGGGAGTTTTTCCCCGGGAGGCCGGACGTGCCCTCTCGCGGTGGGGGCCCATCCTCCCCCTCGTTCTCCTCCTCCTCCTCCTCCTTGTCCTCCTCCTCCTCCTCCTCTTCCTCCTCCTCTCCCTCCGCTCTCCTCTCGGGGCGTCAGACATCATTAAGCACCCCATCGTCGTGCCGCTCATGGCAGGGGTGAAGAGGGCGGCAGCGGCGGCCCCAGAGGTGGCCATGGAGCAACCGACGATGCCAGCGGTAACAGAACATGTTAGCCGTCGCGGGTCCCAAACACTCTGTGTGGTGCAATCTATGTGGTGGCAATCCACTTCGACTGTCTTGAAGCTGTCCTCTCCACTGCTCGTGCAAACATCCCACCCTCCCACCCGCAACTTGGTCGCAAGACATCTTCAGACCGCGACGGTGGATACCAAATGGCTCTTGGCGACGACAGCGACGCCGACGACGACAGCGACAACAACGACGACGAAAACGTCGCCGACGACGACTACGACGACAACGACGACGGCTCCGACGACTTCGACGACGACGATGACGACGACGACGACGGCGGCGACACCGACGACGACAATGACGACGCCGACGACGACGACGACGCCGACGCCGACGACGACGACGATGACGACGCCGACGACCACGGCGACGACGACGCCGACGACGATGACGACGCCGACGACGACGACGGCGACGACGCCGCCGACGATGACGACGACGACGACGACGACGACGGCGGCGACACCGACGACGACAATGACGACGCCGACGACGACGACGCCGACGCCGACGACGACGACGATGACGAAGCCGACGACGACGACGGCGACGACGACGCCGACGACGAGGACGACGACGACGACGCGGACGACGACGACGCCGACGGCGACGACGACGACGACGCCGACGACGAAGACGACGACGACGTCACTGACGAAGACGACGACGACGATGAGTGAGGAGGGAGGACGACGACGGCGACAACGACAACGACGAGAGAGGAGGGAGGACGGCGACGACGCGAACGACGAAGAAGGATGGAGGACGGCGACGCCGACGACGACAACGACGAGAGAGGAGGGAATACGACCACGACGACGACGGCGACGAAATAGGAGGGACGACGACGAGACGCCGACGACGGACGACGACGACGACGAGGGAGGAGGAGGAAGGACGACCACGGCGACAACGACGACGGAAACGACCAAGACGCCAAAGAGGACGACGACGACGAACACGAGGAAAGACAGAGGACGACGTAGGCGACGACGACGACGACAACGAGGCGGAAGGAGGCAGGACGGCGACGAAGACGACGACGACGACGCAAGAGCGCGCGCGCACGCTTTTGTTGAACATCCGTGTTGCGAAACACTGTGTTTTTGTAAATTTTTTGGACACACGATTTTGAAATCCTGCCGAAACCGGTGGGTTTTGAACGTTTTTGGCATACGCGCGCGACGACGCGCGCTGCACTTCGTCCCGTTTTTTTTTTGCAGGAGGATTTCTCGCGACGGCACACGCGCAAGGGCGTTCGACAGATTTCGACATGAGCGTGCGCGAAGCCCGTTAGGTAGCATTTTGTGAAAATCTTGAAAAACCGGCAAGAGCTTTCGCGGAAACTGTTTTAGCAACTCTGTGTTGCGAAACCATGTGTTTTTGTATGTTTTGTGGGAACTCGATTGCGAAATCCTTCCTGCACCGAAGTTTTTGTTTGAAGGATTTCGGCATGCGCGCGCGACGACGTGCGCGCGTGAAGAAGTGTTATGTTAGAACAAAAAATGTCACCGCACTATGTTTTCTACAAGGGAACCTCAGGGGGGATACCGGTTTGGTTGGGATGATCTGATTTCATATTTAGGGTGGACGAGTGTGCAGAATGTAGATGAAACTATACTATCCCAGGGGGAAGCGAAAGGTCCGGGGGGGTAGAGTCTGTTCTCTTTTTAGAAAGGAGAATCTATTTGGTGCTATCCACTTTGACTGTCTTGAAATCGTCATCTCCACTGCTCGCGCAAACATCCCACCCACCCACCCGCAACTTGGTTTGCAAAACCTCTTAAGACCGACTACGACGACACCGACGGCAACGACTAGGACGACGCCGACGACGTCTCCGACGACTTCGACGATGACACCGACGCCGACGCCGACGATGACGAAGACGACGACGACGCCAACGAAGGCGACGACGAGGGAGGAGGAAGGACGACGACGGCGACAACGACGACAACGACGACAACGACGAGGGAGGAGGGAGGACGGCGACGACGAAGGCGGAAGGACGGCGACGCCGACGACGACAACGACGGGGGAGGAAGGAAGACGACGACGACAACGACGACGACGACGACGGCGACGAAATAGGAGGGACGACGACGAGACGCCGACGACGGACGACGACGACGACGTGGGAGGAGGAGGAAGGACGACCACGGCGACAACGACGACGGAAACGACCACGACGCCAAAGAGGACGACGACGACGAACACGAGAAAAGGCAGAGGACGACGTAGGCGACGACGACGACGACGACGCGGGAGGAGGGAGGACGGCGACGACGACGACGACGACGACGACGACGCAAGAGCGCGCGCGCACGCTTTTGTTGAAAATCCGTGTTGCGAAACCTTGTGTTTTGTGGGTTTTTTCGGACGCGCGATTTCGAAATCCTTCCGAAACCGATGGGTTTTGAAGGATTTCGGCATACGCGCGCGACGACGCGCGCGTCTGCACTGCGTCCCGTTTTTTTGCAGGAGGATTTCTCGCGACGGCACACGCGCAAGGGCGTTCGACAGATTTCGACATGCGCGCGCGACGCCCGTTTGCTAACATGCTATGAAAATATTGAAAAACCTATGGTTTTCTTGACATTTCGCAAGAGCTCGCGCGGAAGCTGTTTTAGCAGATCCGTGTTGCGAAACCTTGTGTTTTTGTATGTTTTTTGGAAACTCGATTGCGAAATCCTTCCCGCACCGAAGGATTTTGAAGGATTTCGGCATGCGCGCGCGACGACGCGCGCGTGTGAACGTCGTCTCTTTTTGTGCAAAAGGATTCGTGAAGAAGTGTTACGTTAGAACAAACAATGTCACCGCATAGTGTGTTTTTAAGGGAACTCAGAGGGGGGATACCGGTTTGGCTGGGATGCTCTGATTTCATATTTAGGA